AAGTTGTTCTTGTTATTGTTATGCCCCACCTACGATAGTAGAGGGACATTATGTTTCCTGGTCTGTTCGTCCGTTCGTTCGTCCGTTCGTCCGTCCCGCTTCAGGTTAAAGTTGTTGGTCAAGGTACCGGTAGTTTTTGATGAAGTTGAAGTCCAATCAACTTGAAACTTCGTACACATGTTCCCTATGATTTGATCTTTTTAATTTAAATGCCAAATTAGATTTTTGACCACAATTTCACGGTCCACTGTATATAGAAAATGATAGTGCAATGGGGCATCCGTGTACTATGGATACATTCTTGTTAAATATTATTCATTGCTTCTAGATATTGCTTTTTTCATCGGCAACAGACTTCTAAAGATTTATTTTTAAATTGTATGCCCCCGCCGTAGCGGAGGGGACAATAAGTTTTTTTTATCCTTGTCTGTCTGTACTTCCGTAAGAACGTCCCAAAATTGGTTTCCGTTCTCTAACATTAGTTTCCCTCAACCAAATGTTATGAAACTTATACACAATGCTTATTACTACAAAACACAGATCAATTTTGAATTTTGGTGGCGTCATTTTAACCGTTCTAGAGTTATGTCCCTTTACAAATGGAAAAATTGCTAATTGTTTTGTTTCCGTTCTCTAATTTTAGTTTGCCTCAACCAAACTTTATGGAACTTATACACAATTTTTATTACCACAAAACACAGACCAAGTTTGAATATTGGTGGCGTCACTTTTGCCGTTCTAGAGTTATGCCCCTTTACAAATGGAAAAAATGCTTATTTTTTTGTTTCCGTTCTCTAACTTTAGTTTTCCTCAACCAAATGTTATGAAATTATACACAATGCTTATTACTACAAAACACAGATCAAGTTTTAACTTTGGTGGCGTCATTTTTTACCGTTCTAGAGTTATGCCGCTTTACAAATGGAAAAATTGCTGGATTTTTTGTTTCGGTTGTCTAACTTAAGTTTGCCTCAACTAAATGTTATGAAACGTATACACAATGCTAATTACCACAAAACTTAGAGCAAGTACAAATTTGGGTAGCGTCACTTTTACAGTTCTTGAGTTGTGTCCCTTTATAACATTATATGCAAGCGAGGTCAGCATCTGTGTCCATTCCCATTTATTTAGTTTATTTTTTTTAGAATGCATTTCTTTAAGGTTTGATTTTTAGCGGAAAAAAACAAATTCGGTGACCTTATTTAATTTCTACTGTAACGTCACCACAACTTCTATACTCTATAACGCTATCATACGATACAGTGTCGTAAAAAAATCGTGAGCGTGAACTATTCCTAACTATTGCCAATTCTCAAGCGTAGTCAATTGATGAGGAAATAGACTTACTAGTTTTTAAGGACATTTCTGCTGACAATACAAAAACGCACATTGGCAAATATGTAAATATACTGCAAGTGAAAGAAAGTTACTGTATAGACTGTAACTCCATCTTTTCTAAATTAAACAGGGTTTCACATCTATTTTTAAATATTTGTATTGTCCTAATTTTTATGAATCAAATATCGAGTTTGAAATTGTCCCGATTAGCACAGTGTTGACAGAATGATTCTCATGATACATATTCTAAAACTGAACTTATAGTTCGCGAAAACCTCCTCAAAATTTGTTGTATACTCAGATATCAGAATGTCTGTAAAGGTGCTCGTACTCTTTCTAAATGATATCAAAATTGCCCTATGCAGGTACAATCTTCTCATTTTATAGATATCAACGTCAGAATGACGATAACAGAAAGTATTGAGACATTCAATGCAGTTAACCCTGTAACGATATACATATAGCAGGCTTATTTATACGTAAGGGAGCTACCATTTGACTTTAATTGGGGGAAAAAGGGGGGAGGATGAAAAATGTTGTCCTGCATTTTTTTTTTAATTGTAATCTCTGTCCTGCCTTTTTCTTTTTGTTTTTCCCTCTATTCGGTCCTGACGTTTTTTTTCAAATTTCATCCCTGCCCCCTCCCCTAAAAATAAAATGGAACCTTCCTTATAATATTAACGTAACGTCACACTGTCTGGTACATGTAGCAATCTTTTGTATCAACGATTTATCTATTTACAGGAAAGGAAAAGAACTTCTACCCAAGGCATAATATATTTATCGGAAAGAAAAAGATGACTTCTACTCAAGGCATGATACATTTACAGGAAAGGAAAAGAAGACTTCTACTCAAGGCATGATATATTTACAGGAAAGGAAAAGAAGACTTCTACTTAAGGCATGATATATTTACAGGAAAGGAAAAGAAGACTTCAACTTAAGGCATGATCTATTACTGCTGTATAAAGACACCAAATAAAGGACAGAGCTTATTTTCTATTTAATCTGTATGGTTTGAATTATAATATTTGCTGTAAATGTTGAACAGTTGAAATTAAAACCACATTCTGCAAGATTATAAACTCACTTCAAATGTGTCAATTTTTTTCATGGTCTCCCATAGGGTGTAATTTTTTCAAACGGGCTGGGAAATTCACCAGATTAAATTGATTGATTGATTGATTTGTTGGTGTTTAACGCCACTTTCAACACCATTGTGCTATTTCGTGGCGGTCATTTTTTATTGATGGGGGAAGCCGGATTGCCCGAAGAAAAGCACGAACCTTCGATAGGAAAACTGACAATCATGGGCCTAGTCAATTAAGATTGGAGTCGAGCGCACCTTGCACGAGCGGAATTCGAATTCATAATCTCAGCGTTGACTGGCTAGTGATACAGTAGTTGGACTACTTGTAGCACTTGGCCACCGAGGCCCCGACAGAATAAAACATACGAGTTAATGTATAGCTATTCATAGATAAGGGGATCGGGTATGATTGTCAATGAGACAACTATTCCTCAAAGATAATTTTAAGTGGTTTTTAACAATTAATGGCAACCTTACGGCCTTCAACATGAGAAAAAACATACTGTATAGTCGCCTATTAAAGGCCCCGATATACATGATTACAGTTACACAAGAGTTTGTGAGGAAATTAGCCCATTTCCTATACTGTATCATCTCTATCTCTGATGTTTGTTGTTTAATTTATCAGTGTGAATGTTTCCCCAGCCAATGATTCCTTTCAATTGTGTTATCTGCTGCTGAAAATGTTTCACCGCAGTGACTCTTTTCTATTCTTACAGTATCTGTTAGACGACATACTTCTCGCTGTTGTATACAACTGAATGTGCAATCATTGTGCAATGCATGAGTATTTTTCTTCAAGCCTGTGAACTTATTTTGGTTATCATCTCTGTGGGAATAATTCCCCAGTCTATAGATAACTATATGGTTAAAATCTTTGTGAAGAAATTTCCCCAGTCTAAATATTTTTTTTGGTTATCAACTGTGTAAGGAAATTCCCCATTCTATTGATTTCGGTATCGTTCCCATCTTTTTTGGGAAATTTCCCCAGTCTATTGATTTATTTTTGGTTATGAAATTTTAGTGATTTCGTTTTCGTTATCATCTATTTTGGGAAATTTCCCTAGACTTTTGATTTTTTTTGGTTATCAACTTTGTAGGGAAATTTCTCCATTTTAGTGATTTCGTTTTCGTTATCATCTTTTTGGGGAAATTTCCCCATTCTATTGACTTCTTGTTGGTTTTCATCTTTTTGGGGAGATTTCCCCATTCTATTGACTTCTTGTTGGTTATCATCTTTTTGGGGAAATTTCCCCATTCTATTGATTTCTTGTTGGTTATCATCTTTTTGGGGAGATTTCCCCATTCTATTGACTTCTTGTTGGTTATCGTCTTTTTGGGGAAATTTCCCCATTCTATTGATTTCTTGTTGGTTATCATCTTTTTGGGGAGATTTCCCCATTCTATTGACTTCTTGTTGGTTATCGTCTTTTTTGGGGAAATTTTATCATTTTATTGATTTCTTTTTAGTTTCATCATTTTGGGGAGATTTTGTCATTCTATTGATTTCTTTTTCGTTAACATCGTTTCAGGGAAATTTCCCCATTCTATTGTTTTGTTGTTGGTCATCATCTTTTTGAGGAAATTTCCCAAATTATTGATATCTGATTGGTTATCAACTTTATTGGGAAATTTCCCCAATACTTGTTAACAAATAATTTCTACGTTTCTTGTATATGTAAAGTAAAACGTGTTTATTTCTTGAGATTGTTCTCCTAGTTTTGTTGTGTAGTGTTATTGGATACCATCATCAAATATATGTGTTACAATCATGCCAGTTAAATGTTTGTTGGAATATTTTGTTCACACAAATAGAAAACATTGAAAAAAGAGAATAAAATAGAAATTCTCTTTTTCAAATAGATTGCGTTTATGGTGAGCGACACAGGCTCTTTAGAGCCTCTAGTTTTCCGTTATTCCTTATTTGATTTAAATTAAAATAGATAAATAGACACTTTAAATCACAAAAATGATCAGCAAGGCAAAATCTATTTAAAAGTCAAATTTTGTCTATATAGTTTATAGTAGACTGTCACTCTTCATAGGAGGGATTGCCCTTAAATGATGATTTTTTTACCTTCTTTTGTGTTTTGAGCAAAAACTAAAGAAGATAGAGTGAAACTAAACAGACTAAAAAATCAGTAATACAAGATCAACAAAAATAGAGATTTTTGTCATGAAGTCTTTTCTCGTCTACAATGTTGGAGAGTGTCCTTTGTTTGATATGCACATAGACCAAGGTGAGCGACACATGCTCTTTAGAGCCTCTAGTTTTCTTAACTGGTCATTTCAAATAAAGGTAGCCACATTACATGCGTTACAACACATATTGCCAGATTGGAGCCTAAAACCTGAAAACCTGAATATGTGCTATTTTCTTGCAATTAAACAATGGGAGAAATAAAACATACTTTAAGAAATGATGCATTTTCTCCATTATGAGTATGGTTGGAAACACCACTGTTTTCGAACTTGGCAGTAACTGCTTCTGAAAAAAAAAAAAAAAAAATATATAAATTATCTGAAAAAAGACATCATATTACAAATAATTAATAAAATATTGTTTGTCGTCCATTATTTGGGTATTAGGATTTATGACCGAAGTCACCATCACACAACTCAAGTGCCAGTTAGTGTGGGTTGTATCATCAGCCTGGTCAAACCAACAACTTGAAAATATGAATTCCCAACTTCTCTATAAAGAATAATGTGTGTGACGTATGTATTTCTTCATCGTATATGCATTTTCCAAACATTATGTGCAAATTATGGTCAAATTTGAAATTTTTCTAAAAATCATTATTTTCATTGACAAAAATGGGCCTTTAAAATATATGTATTAAACTATTTGACAAGTTTTCACATGGGGCATGATAGTTTATAGCATATGTTTCTATTGTAGACTGTCATGTCAAAGACGTCCCCAGAAGTAACTCCTGACACCCATTTACAGGAACCTGCAGCACCAGTAGTTGAAGGTAATTATCTAATGTTAATTATTCAGATACCGGCTGAAATGATTTATAATTACTTGTTTCTAATATACGGAAACCTTGATATCTGCTTATAATGTTATAATGAAAAATAATGAAAAAAACCAACAAATAAATGGGAAAAGTGAAGTAGGCTATTGATGAAGATTGATTGATTACAGATCACATTAACTTTAAAATCAGTCTCATCTAATTTATACTTTCCTCAGCCTGTTGAATATATGTTTGATAATCATTCTTACTAGTTCCCCTCACAAGGCATGTGACGTCAATATCATTCTTACTTGTTCCTTCTTTTAAAAGACATGTGACATCAATATCATTCTTACTTGTTCCTCATACAAGGCATGTGATATCAATATGATTTTTACTTGTTCCTCTCACAAGGCATGTCACATCAATAACATTCTTACTTGTTCATTACACAAGGCATGTGACGTCAATATCATTCTTACTTGTTCCCCTCACAAGGCATGTGACGTCAATATCATTCTTACTTGTTCCCCTCACAAGGCATGTGACGTCAATATCATTCTTACTTGTTCCTCTCACAAGGCATGTGACGTCAATATCATTCTAACTTGTTCCCCTCACAAGACATGTGACATCAATATCATTCTTACTTGTTCCTCTCACAAGGCATGTGATGTCAATATCATTCTTACTTGTTCCCATCACAAGGCATGTGACGTCAATATCATTCTTACTTGTTCCCCTCACAAGGCATGTGACATCAATATCATTCTTACTTGTTCCTCTCACAAGGCATGTGACGTCAATATCATTCTTACTTGTTCCCCTCACAAGGCATGTGAAGTCAATATCATTCCTATTTGTTCCCCTCACAAGGCATGTGGTGTCAATATCATTTTTACTAGTTCCCCTCACAAGGCATGTGACGTCAATATCATTCTTACTTGTTCCTCTCACAAGGCATGTGACGTCAATATCATTCTTACTTGTTCCTCTCACAAGGCATGTGAAGTCAATATCATTCCTATTTGTTCCCCTCACAAGGCATTTGATGTCAATATCATTTTTACTAGTTCCCCTCACAAGGCATGTGACGTCAATATCATTCTTACTTGTTACTCTCACAAGGCATGTGACGTCAATAACATTCTTACTTGTTCCCCTCACAAGGCATGTGACGTCAATATCATTCTTACTTGTTCCTCTCACAAGGCATGTGACGTCAATAACATTCTTACTAGTTCCCCTCACAAGGCATGTGACATCAATATCATTCTTACTAGTTCCCCTCACAAGGCATGTGACGTCAATATCATTCTTACTTGTTCCTCTCACAAGGCATGTGTTGTCAATAACATTGTTACTTGTTCCCCTCACAAGGCATGTGACGTCAATAACATTCTTACTTGTTCCTCTCACAAGGCATGTGACATCAATATCATTCTTACTTGTTCCCCTTACAAGGCATGTGACATCAATATCATTCTTACTTGTTCCTTCTTAAGACATGTGATGTCAATATCATTCTTACTTGTTCCTCTCACAAGGCATGTGACGTCAATATCATTCTTACTTGTTCCTCTCACAAGGCATGTGACGTCAATAACATTCTTACTTGTTCCCCTCACAAGGCATGTGATATCAATATCATTATTACTTGTTCTTCTCAAAAGGCATGTCACATCAATATCATTCTTACTTGTTCCCCTTACAAGGCATGTGACATCAATATCATTCTTACTTGTTCCTCTCACAAGGCATGTGACATCAATATCATTCTTACTTGTTCCTCTCACAAGGCATGTGACGTCAATATCATTCTTACTTGTTCCTCTCACAAGGCATGTGATATCAATATCATTATTACTTGTTCTTCTCAAAAGGCATGTCACATCAATATCTTTCTTTCTTGTTCCCCTCAAAAGGCATGTGACATCAATATCATTCTTACTTTTTCCCCTCACAAGGCATGTCACATCAATATCATTCTTACTTGTTCCTCATACAAGGCATTTGATGTCAATATCATTCTTACTTGTTCCCCTCACAAGGCATGTGATATCAATATCATTCTTACTTGTTCCTCTCACAAGGCATGTTACATCAATATCATTCTTACTTGTTCCTCTCACAAGGCATGTCACATCAATATCATTCTTACTTTTTCCTCTCACAAGGCATGTGAAGTCAATATCATTCTTACTTGTTCCCCTCACAAGTCATATGACGTCAATATCTTTCTCACTTATTTCTCATACAAGGCATGTGACATCAATACCTTTCTTACTTGTTCCCCTCACAGGGCATGTGACGTCAATATCATTCTTACTTGTTCCTCACACAAGTCATATGACGTCAATATCATTCTTACTTGTTCCTCACACAAGGCATATGACATCAATATCATTCCTACTTGTTCCCCTCACAAGGCATGTGACATAAATATCATTCTTACTTGTTCCTCACACAAGGCATGTGACATCAATATCATTCCTATTTGTTCCTCTCACAAGTCATATGGCATCAATATTATTCTTACTTGTTCCCCTCACAAGGCATTTGATGTCAATATCATTCTTACTTGTTACTCTCACAAGGCATGTGACGTCAATATCATTCTTACTTGTTCCTCTCACAAGGCATGTGACTTCAATATCTTTCTTATTTGTTCCCCTCACAAGGCATTTGATGTCAATATCATTCTTACTTGTTCCTCTCACAAGGCATGTGACGTCAATATCATTCTTACTTGTTCCTCTCACAAGGCATGTGACGTCAATATCTTTCTTATTTGTTCCCCTCACAAGGCATGTGACGTCAATATCATTCTTACTTGTTCCTCTCACAAGGCATGTGACGTCAATATCTTTCTGATTTGTTCCCCTCACAAGGCATGTGACGTAAATATCATTCTTACTTGTTCCTCACACAAGGCATGTGAAGTCAATATCATTCTTACTTGTTCCTCTGACAAGGCATGTGACGTCAATATCTTTCTTACTTGTTCCCCTCACAAGGCATGTGACATCAATATCATTCTTACTTGTTCCCCTCACAAGGCATGTCACATCAATATCATTCTTACTTGTTCCTCACACAAGGCATGTGACATCAATATCATTCTTACTTGTTCCTCATATAAGGCATGTGACATCAATATCATCCTTACTTGTTCCCCTCACAAGGCATGTGACGTCAATATCATTCTTACTTGTTCCTCTCACAAGGCACGTGACATCAATATCATTCTTACTTGTTCCCCTCACAAGGCATGTCACATCAATATCATTCTTACTTGTTCCTCACACAAGGCATGTCACATCAATATCATTCTTACTTGTTCCTCACACAAGGCATGTCACATCAATATCATTCTTACTTGTTCCCCTTACAGGGCATGTGACATCAATATCATTCTTACTTGTTCCTCTCACAAGGCATGCGACATCAATATCATTCTTACTTGTTCCTCTCACAAGGCATGTGACATCAATATCATTCTTACTTGTTCCCCTCAAAAGGCATGTGACATCAATATCATTCTTACTGTTCCCCTCACAAGGCATTTGAAGTCAATATCATTCTTACTTGTTCCTCTCACAAGGCATGTGACATCAATATCATTCTTACTTGTTCCTCTCACAAGTCATGTCAAGTCAATATCATTCTTACTTGTTCCCCTCACAAGGCATGTGACGTCAATATCATTCTTACTTGTTCCTCTCACAAGGCATGTCACATCAATATCATTCATACTTGTTCCTCTCACAAGGCATGTGACATCAATATCATTCGTACTTGTTCCTTCTTAAGACATGTGACATCAATATCATTCTTACTTGTTCCTCATACAAGGCATGTGATATCAATATGATTTTTACTTGTTCCTCTCACAAGGCATGTCACATCAATAACATTCTTACTTGTTCATTACACAAGGCATGTGACGTCAATATCATTCTTACTAGTTCCCCTCACAAGGCATGTCACAACAATATCATTCTTACTTGTTCCTCTCACCAGGCATGGCACATCAATATCATTCTTACTTGTTCCTCTCACAAGGCATGTGACGTCAATATCATTCTTACTTGTTCCCCTTACAAGGCATGTGAAGTCAATATTATTCTTACTTGTTCCCCTTCCAAGGCATGTGACGTCAATATCATTCTTACTTGTTCCTCACACAAGGCATGTGACATCAACATCATTCCTTCTTGTTCCCCTCACAAGGCATGTGACGTCAATATCATTCTTACTTGTTCCTTCTTAAGACATGTGACATCAATATCATTCTTACTTGTTCCTCTCACAAGTCATGTGAAGTCAATATCATTCTTACTTGTTCCTCTCACAAGGCATGTGACGTCAACATCATTCCTTCTTGTTCCCCTCACAAGGCATGTGACGTCAATATCATTCTTACTAGTTCCTCTCACAAGGCATTTGATGTCAATATCATTCTTACTTGTTCCTTTCACAAGGCATGTGACGTCAATATCATTCTTACTAGTTCCTCTCACAAGGCATTTGATGTCAATATCATTCTTACTTGTTCCTCTAAGAAGGCATGTGACATCAATATCATTCTTACTTGTTCCTCACACAAGGCATGTCACATCAATATCATTCTTACTTGTTCCCCTCACAGGGCATGTGACGTCAATATCATTCTTACTTGTTCCTCTCACAAGCCATGCGACATCAATATCATTCTTACTTGTTCCTCTCACAAGGCATGTGACATCAATATCATTCTAACTTGTTCCCTCTCACAAGGCATGTGACATCAATATCATTCTTACTTGTTCCTCTCACAAGGCATGTGGCGTCAATATCATTCTTACTTGTTCCCGTCACAAGTCATATCAAGTCAATATCATTCTTACTTGTTCCCCTCACAAGGCATGTGACGTCAATATCATTCTTACTTGTTCCTCTCACAAGGCATGTCACATCAATATCATTCTTACTTGTTCCTCTCACAAGGCATGTCACATCAATATCATTCA